ATTAGATTAGATTAGATTAGATAACCTTTATTGTCATTTTTTTTCCCTGTGGGCACAGCGGCACCCATTAAAAATGAAATCTAGATTCTTTCTCTCAAAGTGTACACATACATAACACACATTTAAAACATACTATGTATAGACCTACACCCGGGGTAGGCAACCTTGGCTCTTTTATGACTTGTGGACTTCAACTCCCAGAATTCCTGAGCCAGCCATGCTGAGGGGAAAGGGAGAGGTTTCCAAGCTGAGCCACGCTGGCTCAGGAATTCTGGGAGTTGAAGTCCACAAGTCATAAAAGAGCCAAGGTTGCCCACCCCTGATCTAGATCATGATTTGATGAGTTTAGATCAGGGGTAGGCAACCTTGGCTCTTTTATGACTCGTGGACTTCAACTCCCAGAATCCCTGAGCCAGCCACGCTGAGGGGACAGGGAGAGGTTTCCAAGCTGAGCCATGGTGCCTCAGGAATTCTGGGAGTTGAAGTCCACGAGTCCTAAAGGGGGGCATAGTTTCCCCATGCTGGCTCAGGAATTCTGGGAGTTGAAGTCCACCAGTCATAAAAGAGCCAAGGTTGCCTACCCCTGACCTACACCCTTACATTTAAGCAACATATAAATATTAATTGCTGTCCATCTTGAATACATAATGGAAGGAGGAAGCTTGAGAGTTCACAAGGCTGACACTGTATGGAACGAAACAAAACTGGGACTGAATCTGGATGTTCTGCTTCGGAGACCACGGAGCCCCCTCCTCCCAGAAGGGAACAAGGAAAACAGGTTGTGAAGAAGGTGCGTGGTGTCCCAGACAATCCTGCAGACGCTGCTCAAGCCACGCTTCTGTGCCATGTCCTGGATGGGAGGGAGGGGAACTGCCAATCATCTTTTCTGCCGTCCTCACCACTCTCTGCACCGCCTTCCTGTCTGCTTCCAAACCAGACTGTCTCGTTGCTTGATCTGAGTTTGTCAGACAAACTTCTGACAGGGCCAGCCTGCAGGCTTTTTCACGCCACGTCTCCAAGACTGCAAATCCTGCACCTTTTTCAAACGGTTGCCCGGGTCTGCACGCAAAGAAGACCCCGGCCTTGGCTGAATCCCACAACCGCAGGCCACTCCTGGCCGCAAGATGGCACTGGAGACAAGCACAACAGGCCCTTTCCTCAACAATAGGGGGGAAAAGTTTAGCGTTGCCCACTGCCTCTGTCTCCCCCCTCCCGCCGCCAGCATGTGATAGGGCTATAAATATTTAAAATGCCACAATATTAAGCAATTAAAGCGACTGTTCTTGTGGAAGGCTGCTTGAAAGATCTTTTTAACCTTTAGCATTTCACAGTTAACCAAAAAAAAAAAAAAAAAGGGAAGCTACAAAATGCACACGGTTGTGATTAAGGAGTGGCACTTGACTTCACTCTCACGCCTTGCAGTCAGCAGAGCCAAAAAGATGGATTTTGCCACAGTTTGGGAAAGAGGGACCCAAAGGCCAGCTGCAGCAGGGGAGAGGCAGGACTTGAGCTACCAACACACACGTACACCTCAAAAAAACAACAACACCCAAATGTGTGCAGAGGGCCCAAATTTCTTTGCACAATCCCTGCCCTCCTCCTCCTCTTCTTCTTTTATTTATATTAATAGCTTTATTAGTTTGTCGAAATATAAAATACAAAAAGAAATTCAAGAAAGTAATAGAAAAGTAATATATCATTATACATATTATAACTGCAGCACGCGTCGTACATGCACAATGTTGGAAAAGGGAGAACATACCAACAAATGAAATGATTGTATGTAAGATATTAGACTGTGCTAAGATGAACAAACTTTCCTTAGAAATAAAAGACAGAGAAGCTACAGAATTTTATGAGGTATGGGAGATGGATTATAACTGGCTAGAATGGCGGAATAAAAACGTACGAGAAGTAATGTAAATAAATGCAAATGATTTTAAGAGGTATAGGACATAGTATTGTTAAAGGAAAATAAATGTATTGTGTATTATGTTTGTTTGTAAAGAGAAAAAGGGGGAAAAAAAAGAAAGTAACAGAAAAGTAGATAAAGGGGGAAACTTTATCAGGAAAAGTAGAAAAAGGGGGAGGGAAACAAAAAAAAGACAGTGTAAAGAAGGAAGAAGGGGGAAAAAAGGCACCAACTTCTGACTCTCTTTAGCACCATGGAAGATAACAACATCACAATCACAACTTTTTTTTGCTTTTACCTAACAGTACACGCAGTCCATTTCTGCAACAATGAACCTACGTAATTAACTAAAACAAAATCAAGATTTTATTTTTCCTTCCTCATCGCAAGTTACAAAACCCGGAAGCGATTTCAAAAGAGAAGCAAGATTAAATATATTCTCTTCTTTGGATAAAAGAACTAGTTATGGAAGCACAAGCAGTAGAACACAGTCAAACTAGAGTCTTGGACTTTAAGAGAGCTAATTTCAATAAACCTAGAGAGGGATTGGGAAGGATTCCATGGATGAGAATCCTCAAGGGGAAAACAACTCAAGAAGCTTGGGAAATTTTGAAAAGTGAGATAATAAAAGCCCAGTCCAGCACAATACCAACAAAGAGGAAAAATAACAGCTCTCAAAAGAAACCAGCATGGCTGCATAAAAAACTCTCTGACAAATTGAAAGATAAAAAGGACAAGTATAGAAAGTGGAAAGAGGGGCACATAACTAAGTCAGAATATCAACAAATAGCCTGGGCCTGCAAAGATGAAGTGAGGAAAGCTAAGGCTCAAAATGAACTAGTTGGACCATCTCTGCTTCTCACTGCTGTGGGGAGTAACATATAATCTCCTCTTCTTGAGGTCCATCCATCCATCCATCCATCCGTTGCAAGGGAGCCAATTCCTGATCAACTTACTTCCTTTTTTCCACATTCCAGAAGATTTCAAGAGCCCTGCCTTTCTGATTCTCACAACCAAACCACCGCAGAACATCCTCTTCTCAATGGTGACACAAACCAAAGACTAACCCCATCTGTGTTTCATTTCAGGTCAACCCTTCAATTATCCAATTATTTCTTATTTTAATGATTTCATAAATCCACCGATACGGCTGCCACCTTGTACGGACATTTCTGGGTGGCCAACAAAACCAGCAAAACACAAAAGAACAACCAACCAGTAACAATAAAGAATTGTCAGATGCAATAAACATCTTGCTATCCAAGGGCAATCAAACCCAAGGTGTATAATCACACTCGCAGCACACACAAAAAACTTTCTCGATATCTTTTCCGTTCCACCTTCATGGCGCCTAGACCTGGTGGCTAAGCACCATTTCTCTGACTGAGCCAGCCGTGTGCGGCAGCAGCAGCCAAAAAAGCTAATATAATCCTGGGTTGCATAAACAGAGGCATAGAATCAAGATCATGCAAGCTATTAGTACCGCTTTGTAAAACCCTAGTAAGGCCACACCTGGAATGCTGCATCCAGTTTTGGTCACCATATTGTAAAAAAGATGTTGAGACTTTGGAAAAAGTTCAGAGAAGAGCAACTAAGATGATCAAAGGCCTGGAGACTAAAACATATGAAGAACGGCTGCGGGATTTGGGTTTGGCTAGTCTAGAGAAAAAAAGGACTAGGGGGGACATGATAGCAGTCTTCCAGTATTTGAGGGGCTGCCACAAAGAAGAGGGGGTCAAACTATTCTGCAAAACACCTGAAGGCAGGACAAGAAGCAACGGATGGAAACTAATCAAGGAGAGAATCAACCCAGAAATAAGGAGGAATTTCCTAACAGTGAGGACAATTAACCAGTGGAACAGCTTGCCACCAGAAGTCGTGGGTGCTTCATCAGTGGAGGTTTTTAAGAAGAGACTAGACAGCCATCAGTCTGAAATGGTATAGCTGCCCTATAGGGGGTAGGTAACCTTGGCTCTTTTATGACTGGTGGACTTCAGCTCCCAGAATTCCTGAGCCAGCATGGGGGAACTATGGCCCCCTCATGACTTGTGGACTTCAACTCCCAGACTTCCTCAGCCAGCATGGCTCAGCTTGGAAACCTCTCCCTTTCCCCTCAGCGTGGCTGGCTCAGGAATTCTGGGAGTTGAAGTCCACGAGTCGTAAAAGAGCCAAGGTTGCCTACCCCTAGCCTAGGGGTCTCCTGCTTGAGCAGGGGGCTGGACTAGAAGACCTCCAAGGTCCCATCCAGCTGTATCCTGATTCTGAGGTGCCATGGACAACCTGGGGGAGAGGCACCCTCATCCCCAGGCCATCTGCTGAAGAAGACATGGGCAATGTGGATGGTGTCCGGAATCCTTATTTACATGACTGGGAATCCAAGTCACCACAGGGACGATGCTGACCTTTTACTGAGCTGTAGAGAAACACACACATGCCACACAAACACACCTGCTTCTTCTCTTCGGCGTCAAGAGATCCATCCTTCATACTTACTGGCTCGATCTTCAGCGCGTTTCGATAGCTCCCGAAAAAAGCGGCCTGGGCTTTGAGGAACGCTCTGGCGACCCCATCCCCTGTGGTCATGGAGACCTTCTTCAACCGGCTTTTCAGCGAGGAAATCTGGGAGAAGAACAAGAAGAAGACATTTCTATCTCAAAGGTCCTCAAAGGAAACCATGGTCTGAATCCTGAGGAGAAACTAAGCTTCGATAAGACTCTTGAAAACAGGACCCATAATGGCTTAATAAGATGACTTTCATGAACATAATGGAAACAAAAGCTGATTAGAAAACACGTTGTATGTTGATGTTATTATTATAGGCATAAATACAGAAAAAAAAATATATTCAACTTGGTGTGTACTGAAAATATTAAGAATTATATTTGTTTAATGAAGACCAGGGGTAGGCAACCTTGGCACTTTTATGACTGGTGGACTTCAACTCCCAGAATTCCTGAGCCAGCCACGCTGAGGGGAAAGGGAGAGGTTTCCAAGCTGAGCCATGCTGGCTCAGGAATTCTGGGAGTTGAAGTCTACGAGTCATAAAAGAGTCAAGGTTCCCCACCCCTGATCTAGATCATGATTTGATGAGTTTAGATTAGGGGTAGGCAACCTTGGCTCTTTTATGACTGGACTTCAACTCCCAGAATTCCTGAGCCAGCCACGCTGAGAGGAAAGGGAGAGGTTTCCAACCTGAGCCATGCTGGCTGAGGAATTCTGGGAGTTGAAGTCCACGAGTCATGAGGGGACCATAGTTCCCCCACGCTGGCTCAGGAATTCTGGGAGTTGAAGTCCACGAGTCATAAAAGAGCCAAGGTTGCCTACCCCTGATGTAGACAAAAGGAGAATATTACTGGAAGGAGAGCGGATCGAGAAATATATTACCAATCAACTTATTAATTGTGGAAATTATCATTGATTGTTTTAAATATATGAACCCAGACAACACACTGTTCACGAAGCACTGAAAATTGTTATTGTAAAAAATTTATATATATATATATAAATTGGTGCACCCTGTCGGCCCAAATATGGGAGAAAGGAAAACTAAAAAGTTCGAAATGGCTATTCCAGTTCTCGCTTAATTCTTTGTTAGCAATCCAAATTTTGAAATACACACACACACACACATACACACACAAACCCCATTTTGATAGGGCTGGGAATTCACTAAATGAATGGTTGGAAGTTGAGGTATCTTTTTTCTTTTAATTTAAAAAACAATTGAATTTATATAGAGGATTCCCTTAATATGAATTAGGATAAAGATTATGAGTCACTAGAGGTATATATATTATTCCCCACAGCAATGAGAAGCAGTGATGGTCCAACCGGTTCTTTTATCCAAAGAAGAGAATATATTTAATCTTGCTTCTGTTTTGAAATTTGCTTCCGGATTTTGTGCTTGCCATGAAAAAGAAAAATGAAACAATGGTTGGAAACTGGCCAAAGAGAGAAGCAACCCGGAATTAAGGAGAAACTTCCTAATGGTGAGGACAATTAGCCAGTGGAACAGTTTGCCACCAGAAATCGTGGGTGCTCCATCACGGGAGGTTTTTAAGAAGAGGCTAGACAGTCACTTGTCTGAGATGGTATAAGTTCTCCTGCTTGAGCAGGGGGCTGGACTAGAAGATCTCCAAGGTCCCTTCCAGCTCTATTCTATTCTATTCTATTCTATTCTATTTTCTATATTCTATTCTATTCCATTTTCTATATTCTATTCTATTCTATTCTATTCTATTCTATTCTATTCTATTCTATTCTATTCTATTCTATTCTATTCTATTCTATTCTATTCTATTTCATATTCTGTTCTATTCTATTCTATTTTCTTATATTATCTATTCTATTCTATTCTATTCTATTCTATATCTTCTATTCTATTCGATTTTCTTATATTCTCTATTCTATTCTATTCTATTCTATTCTATTCTATTCTATTCTATTCTATTCTATTCTATTCTAGTCTAGTCTAGTCTAGTCTACCCTACCCTACCCTACCCCAGTCCACTCCATTCCATTTTCTATATTCTATTCTATTCTGAATTAAGGACTAACTGGTGGAACAGCTTGCCTTCAGAAGTTGTAGGTGCTCCATTCACTGAAGGTTTTTAAGAAAAAAATGAACAGCCACCTATCTGAATGATATAGGCTCTCCTGCTTGAGCAGGGGGCTGGAGTAGAAGACCTCCAAGTCCCTTCCAGATCTATTCTGATTGATTGATTGATTGATGGAATATACAGCTTGTTGGAGACCCCACATCTATCTTCCCGAAAGCATTATTGCCTCTAATGGGCCCCTGTTCTTTAGACCAGCAACAAGCAAAACAGGATGGAGTCTAGTAATGACTTCACAGGAGACGATCCTAACACGGTTCTCCCCCTTTTCTCATTAGAGCAGGCAGGGCTGATCTGCCACAGCCCCAATGCCAACGGTGCCCACCTGTCAACAGGTGCCACCCGTCACTCCTCCGGCATCCTCGAGGCTTCTCAGAAGCTCTTCCCACCTGCGCTTCAGAGGATGCTGCACTTAACCTTCACCGCCCTCTTCATTTCATCCCGGAGGTGTTTAATTGCCTCTGATTCACAGAGCGCCACTTCAGGTGAACACAGCCTGATGGGCTCATTACCATCGACACAAAAGAACACTCTCTGACGGGAACTGAGCAACTCGCAGCTCGCACACTCGCTGACTTGGACACATTCTCAAAAGTGAGCAGAAGCGTTCCGGGTTCCAAAGTGTGCGTCTCACATCCTCCATGTTCCTCCAGAATCGCAAGAGTCTCCATGGTGGCTGTCTACTCAACCTTGGTCACCTTCAGATGTCTGGCTGGGGAATTCTGGGAGTTGAAGTCCACCCATCTTAAAGTGGCCAAGGTTGAGTCGATACACCATAAACACACCTGATATTTCAGAGAAGTATTTCTCGATATCTTCTCCGTTCCACCTTCATGGTGCCTAGACCTGGTGGCTAAGTACCATTTCTCTGACTGAGCTGGCCGTGTGCGGCAGCAGCCAAAAAAAGCTAATACAATCCTGGGTTGCATAAACAGAGGCATAGGATCAAGATCATGCAAGGCATTAGTACCGTTTTATAAAACCCTAGTAAGGCCACACCTGGAATGCTGCACCCAGTTTTGGTCACCATATTGCAAAAAAGATGTTGAGACTTTGGGAAAAAGTGCAGAGAAGAGCAACTAAGATGATTAAAGGCCTGGAGACTAAAACATATGAAGAACAACTGCACGTTTTGGGAATGGGTGGTCTAGAGAAAAAAGGACAAGGGGCGACATGATAGCAGTCTTCCAGTATTTGAGGGGCTGCCACAAAGAAGAGAGGGTCAACTTATTTTCCAAAGCACCAGAAGGCAGGACAAGAAGCAATGGATGGAAACTAATCCAGGAGAGAAGCAACCTGGAATTAAGGAGAAACTTCCTAATGGTGAGGACAATTAACCAGTGGAATAGCCTGTCATCAGACATTGTGGGTGCTTCATCACTGGAGGTTTTTAAGAAGAGATTGAACAGGCACTTGTCTGAGATGGTATGGGGTCTCCTGCTTGAGCAGGGGGCTGGACTAGAAGACCTCCAAGGTCCCTTCCAGCTCTATTCTGATTCTGATTCTTCTCCATTATGGGGTTTCAGACTTCTTTGCCATGAAAGAAGTGCCTGGCTGAGGAATTCTGGGAGTTGAAGTCCACAAGTCATCAAAGGGCCAAGTTTGAAGACCCCTGTTCTGCACTCTTGGGAAAGTTGCCCACAAAGTCAACATGTTCGCCAAGCTGTCCTTGCAATATGGCAGGGTCCCTACCGCCACCCTGCCCTCACGGTGGACGATAGCCGCACGAGGAAGAAACGGCTTCTTCCCCAGAGCCGTGGCAGAGAACACACAACCGGGATTGTGTGTCTAAAGAACATGTCTCTGCTCTTGGCAGTTCGGGATGAAAGGTCAGAGTTAAGCTATCACCATGTTTCAAAATGCGATCTGTGCAGCGCGGCATAATGAAATGGTTCACTAAAGGGACGAGAGGAATTTATTTTAATTAGATCCGTGGCTTTGGAGTTGTCAACATGAATAAAAAGCAAGGGGGAAAAGACCCAACTTGCAAAATGCGGTATCAAAAGAAGAGTGGGGGGGATGAGGGGGGGGGATAAAGCCTCCTTCAAGGCAAGCGGCTTTGGAGAAGTGGGGGTTGGGGGCGAACAACGCCCGAATTAAAATAAATTTTAAAAAAATTACAAACTTTGTGCTCAGCTGCCCCGCTCAACAAATTTATTTAAAAAAAAAAAAAAATAACCAGTGAGGAATGAGAGAAATTAAAAGTCTTTGATGGTATCCTTCTCCAAAGAAGGGGAAGAGACTGGACAGCCATTTGTCCGAAATGGTATAGGGTTTCCTGCCTGAGCAGGGGGTTGGGCTAGATGACCTCCAAGGTCCCTTCCAACTTGATGATGATGATGATGGCCAAATCAGCGAGAAGAGAAAAAGATGCTTCACAAAGCAGAAAACAATTATCACACGCCAATTAGCTTTTTTTTCACAAGATGGGAGGGCTGTAACATTGTGATGGGCTGGCATAAATGCTGCCAGGGGTGGCCCTGACATCCTTTTACCAACACAGCTCCACCTTGGTGAACTTCCTGTCACAAATCCTCTAGGAGCCCGCCGTGTGCAGCAGCCGCCAAAAAAGCTAATACAATCCTGGGTTGTATAAACAGAGACATAGAATCAAGATCACGCGAGGTATTAATACCGCTTTATAACACCCTAGTGAGACCACACCTGGAATGCTGCAGCCAATTGTGGTCACCGTGCTGCAAAAAAGATGCTGAGACCTTGGAAAAAGTTCAGAGAAGAGCAACTAGGATGATCAAACATGTGAAGAACGGTTGCAGGATTTGGGAATGGCCAGTCTAGAGAAAAGAAGGACTAGGGGGGACATGATAGCAGTATTCCAGTATTTGAGGGGCTGCCCCGAAGAAGAGGGGGTCAATATATTCTCCAAAGTACCAGAAGGCAGGACAAGAAACAACGGATGGAAAACAATCAAGGAGAGAAGCAACCTGGAATTAAGGAGAAACTTCCTAACAGGGAGGACAATTAACCAGTGGAACAACCTGCCTCCAGGCCTTCCCTCATCCGATCCCGGCAAGCCACTTTTACCAAATATGAATAAAAAGAAGTGTACTCACTATATCATTTGGGAGGTTTTGCAGGTCATCAAAAGGTGTTTCCAGTGTGTTAGTGTCCACATTCAGGATGACCACGTCATCCAGAGAAATATTTCTGACTTTCTGAAAATGAAAATAGAGAGAAGCAAGTAATTTATTTATGCCCCCAAAAGATTCATGTTGCTCAGCTGTTTCCAAAATTCAGTTGTCTCAATTTTTCCCTGTGCACCTTCCCGTCCCCAAATGCACATATGAATCTTTCCAAATTCCTGACCTGAGGATTCCTAGCTTAGTTATATTTTTTTAAAAAAAATCTGAACAAGCAACCAAGTGGTTCCCTTTTCCTTTTAGTCACGTTAGTCTAGATATGTCCTCCAAAGGGCTTTATTATATGTCCTTACTGGATACCGAATTCATGATGACTTCTCCAGTCTTCCACAGAAATTTTAACGCTCAATGTGGCACCTAGAATTAAGGCCGCAGTGCTATTTAGTGTTCCAATATCTCAGGGGCTGCCACAAAGAAGAGGGAGTCAAGCCATTCTCCAAAGCGCCTGAAGGCAGGACAAGAAGCAATGGATGGAAACTAACCAAGGAGAGAAGCAACCTAGAACTAAGGAGAAACTTTCTGACAGTTAGAACAATTAACCAGGGGAACAACCTGCGTCCAGAAGTGGTGAATGCTCCAACAGTGGAAGTTTTTAAGAAGAGACTGGACGGCCATTTGTCTGAAATGGTATAGGGTTTCCTGCCTGAGCAGGGGGTTGGACTAGATGACCTCCAAGGTCCCTTCCAACTTTATTATTATTATTATTATTATTATTATTATTATTATTATTATTATTATTATTACTACTACTACTACTACTATTACTATTATTATTATTATTATTATTATTATTATTATTATTATTATTATTATTATTATCAAACTAAATTTAACAACTAAAATAATAATCTTGTCTCTTGAATTGTTACCAAAAAGCCTCTCCAGCAGAGAAGACCCAGGATTCTGGGTTATTAGATTTAAAATAGTGGGAAATTAGTGGGAAATAAGGCTCTGAGTTGTATAATATTGAAAAATTAGGACTGAAAAAGAAATAAAAAGTAACTATCAGGAATATGTTTTGACTTATTGATTAACCCAGGCAATATGTATAATGGCTATGATCTACTAAAAGGGGATATTTTATTATTAACCAGAAAATTTAGTATGGTTGGAAATAGAAAATCTTTAGGAAATATAATAAGATTACATTTAAACAGGTAAAACATGTATTTTGGATATTATAATTTCTTATGAAGTGTAGATAAGGGAAACCTTGGGTACCTAGAGCTTGAAAACCATGGACTTTAAAGGTTGATTGGAATATTGGTGCGAATTTAAAAATTAAATAAAAATTAATAACACGACATGGATTGTTATATACCCAGATTAATTAAAATACGTATAAGCTAAAAATGTATTGATAAATGTAACAATGATGTTTTCATTGAGTTGATTTAATCAGAAATGTACTAACTTGTAAAGGAAAAAGAGAAGAAATATTTGATGATGTAACCTGAGATCAGTAGTAAACTTTATGTTATTGAATTATTGTTTAACCCTGCCACCACGTTGCTTTTCAAAGACTTAAATGTAACAAGTGGAAAACCAATAAAATATTATATATATAAAAAGAAAAGAAGACCCAGCATGTAATTTGAGTTGTTGAACTCTACGCCATTCGGAGGCTTAACAGCAGATCTGAAATAAACCCATCCTTCTTTGCTCAGAAATATTTTCCAGAGATCAGGACTTCAGCGTTACTTTACTACACCATTAGATTTAAATAAATGCCCGCTTAGTCTCTCTCAAAGCAGATAATGGTACTTAGAACTGACGCCAGTGATGTATCTTCTTTGACAAAGTGATAAAACATGTCTTTGAGGACTTGTCCCTTTGACAAAAAAAAAAAAAAGTAGTGGCACCATCAATTAATCAACCCAACTAGAGTTGATGAACTGTTCCTATTCCGCAGCCCTTTCCCGTCCGCAGAATGCTTTGAGGAAAAGCAAAGAGCCCACTTTCAATCTACAAGATTTGCAAAAACCCCTTTTAGGAGCGCATCGGTCCCTGTAGGAAGTTTGATGATCTGGAAAACACCCCAAACGGGCGGTGGAAACTTGCAGGCTACAGAAAAGTCGTAACGACGTATTGATTTGGTAGCTCGCGAGGGGATATCTCCTTTTACGATTCTGTAAGGAAAGCTTTAATTAAAATCACTCTCTGATTTACAGTCTGACATGGCTGCTTCACCGACTGGGATGGTTAAGTAGCACATGTCCTTTGACCTCTGAACCCTTTGATCCAAGGGCAGCAGGTAGCCTGTCTTCCGCCCACTCATCCCCGCTCCTCCCGTGCTTTTTCCACCGGCCCACCAATTTTGACCTTGAGAAGATATCCTTATCTTCAGATGCCTCCAAATTTTATTGGTGGCTAACGTAGGGACATATTTCCTTGAAGCTGATCTAAAAATCACAAATGGTCCTGAAGGACATCTTTGAAACTCCAGACTCCAGAATGACAGTTTGGTCCATAGACTTTATAACCCGACAGNGAAATGGTATAGGGTTTCCTGCCTGAGCAGGGGGTTGGACTAGATGACCTCCAAGGTCCCTTCCAACTTTATTATTATTATTATTATTATTATTATTATTATTATTATTATTATTATTATTATTATTATTATTATTATTATTATTATTATTATTATTACTACTACTACTACTACTACTACTACTACTACTACTACTACTACTATTATTATTATTATTATTATTATTATTATTATTATTATTATTATCAAACTAAATTTAACAACTAAAATAATAACCTTGTCTCTTGAATTGTTACCAAAAAGCCTCTCCAGCAGAGAAGACCCAGGATTCTGGGTTATTAGATTTAAAATAGTGGGAAATTAGTGGGAAATAAGGCTCTGAGTTGTATAATATTGAAAAATTAGGACTGAAAGGGAAATAAAAAGTAACTATCAGGAATATGTTTGACTTATTGATTGACCCAGGCAATGTGTATAATGGCTACGATCTACTAAAAGGGGATATTTTATTATTAACCAGATAATTTAGTATGGTGGGAAATAGAAAATCTTTAGGAAATAGAATAAGATTACATTTAAACAAGTAAAATGTGTATTTTGGATATTATAATTTCTTATGAAGTGTAGATAAGGGGAACCTTGGGTACCTAGAGCTTGAAAACCATGGACTTTAAAGGTTGATTGGAATATTGGTGAGAATTTAAAAATTAAATAAAAATTAATAACACGACATGGATTGTTATATACCCAGATTAATTAAAATACGTATAAGCTAAAAATGTATTGATAAATGTAACAAGGATGTTTTCATTGAGTTGATTTAATCAGAAATGTACTAACTTGTAAAGGAAAAAGAGAAGAAATATTTGATGATGTAACCTAAGATCAGTAGTAAACTTTATGTTATTGAATTATTGTTTAACCCTGCCACCACGTTGCTTTTCAAAGACTTAAATATAACAAGTGGAAAACCAACAAAATATTATATATATAAAAAGAAAAGAAGACCCAGCATGTAATCTGAGTTGTTAAACTCTACGCCATTCGGAGGCTTAACAGCAGATCTGAAATAAACCCATCCTTCTTTGCTCAGAAATATTTTCCAGAGATCAGGACTTCAGCCTTACTTTACTACACCATTAGATTTAAATAAATGCCCGCTTAGTCTCTCTCAAAGCAGATAATGGTACTTAGAACTGACGCCAGTGATGTATCTTCTTTGACAAAGTGATAAAACATGTCTTTGAGGACTTGTCCCTTTGACAAAAAAAAAAAAGTAGTGGCACCATCAATTAATCAACCCAACTAGAGTTGATGAACTGTTCCTATTCCGCAGCCCTTTCCCGTCCGCAGAATGCTTTGAGGAAAAGCAAAGAGCCCACTTTCAATCTACAAGATTTGCAAAAACCCCTTTTAGGAGCGCATCGGTCCCCGTAGGAAGTTTGATGATCTGGAAAACACCCCAAACGGGCGGTGGAAACTTGCAGGCTACAGAAAAGTCGTAACGACGTATTGATTTGGTAGCTCGCGAGGGGATATCTCCTTTTACGATTCTGTAAGGAAAGCTTTAATTAAAATCACTCTCTGATTTACAGTCTGACATGGCTGCTTCACCGACTGGGATGGTTAAGTAGCACATGTCCTTTGACCTCTGAACCCTTTGATCCAAGGGCAGCAGGTAGCCTGTCTTCCGCCCACTCATCCCCGCTCCTCCTGTGCTTTTTCCACCGGCCCACCAATTTTGACCTTGAGAAGATATCCTTATCTTCAGATGCCTCCAAATTTTATTGGTGGCTAACGTAGGGACATATTTCCTTGAAGCTGATCTAAAAATCACAAATGGTCCTGAAGGACATCTTTGAAACTCCAGACTCCAGAATGACAGTTTGGTCCATAGACTTTATAACCCGACAGCAATCGATCCCCCATGGAGAAGTGGCTTCAGCTTCAGTTGGAGATGAAACCCTAGCAATTTTTTTCCACACACCAGATCAGGGGTGCACAACCGCCAAATATTTGAAAACTGGGAGAATTACTGATGCAGCCCTCCATGAAAAATGTCTCTGATTCGGAAGATGCTGGTTGATAATCTCAAGGATTTCCAGATCCTGTGAGGCCTTCTCCAAAGTGGTAGCCCGGATGTATAGAAAGTGTATCTCCTGCTAATTCTGGAGACCATGTTCTCAACAAAAGTGGAAGATGATCTATGTAGACCAGGGGTCGTCAAACTTGGCCCTTTTATGACTTGTGGACTTCAACTCCCAGAATTCCTCAGCCAGGCACAAGTTTGAAGACCCCTGGGTTACGTTGTATGGTGAACTTCTCCCTCAGCTTCCACAGTGGTGTCACCAAAACAAACAACCCATCAGAGCAGCATCCATTATTTCTGACATGGCTGCTTTCAACTCAAGAAGCTGGAAGCAAACGGTTTGTGTAGCATGTCATCAGAATCTGAGCCCTGGCTGAGGAATTCTGGGAGTTGAAGTCCACAAGTCATAAAAGGGCCAAGTTTGAAGACCCCTGATGTAGACCCTTGCTTGAAAAGTGTTTGTAACCCTGTCAGAACATCCTTCCTGTCAACTGCAACATCTTCTAAAGCAGAGTCGGTCAAAAAAAAATAGTCACAATAAGCAATAAATCCTCTAAAATAATGTTTGGAGCTCAACCCTGCTGATTCACGCCACAATCAGCTGTTAGTTGTATCCTCTCACTCAGATCTGAATTCTCCGCCAGACATTCAGCAGGTCCTCGGGTGTGGGAAACCAAGTGAGAATCTACTGAAAGATCTTCTGAGGTCCAAGGCCGAGAAGATTTCCATCAACCAGGAAACTGGGCAAAACCTTGACTTCTTGAGGCCCACAAAGAAGCGCCTGAACGTAACCACAGACTGATTTTGGCTCCAGCCACGAAGAAAACGGCAAAAGAGAGGGAGGAAAGATCAGGGCGAGATGCTCTGATTATCTTATCTGCTGGCAATTTAACGGAGCTTATCCTTCTGTTTCCGGAATTTGAATGGCTATTGCCGTAAAAAGTCTTCCATTATTCATACGGCACAACCCCCCGTCTGTCTTACGAACTTTCTGTCTCCTTTGAAGTTGCTCAAAGAGATGGCTAAAATAGAAATCCTTCGGCTGAATGAATGATTAGGTGATGACAGAGAACTTGGGAAGGAAGGAATCGTGAAAAATTCGGAAAACCCCACTTTTGAGACACAGAGGTGGGTTTTTAAATCAGAAACCAGGTCTTTGGCCCAAAAACACCCCCCATAACTTTATCTTAGTGGAGAGTTTTCCAATTATAGCAAATTAGACCCAGCAAACTATGGATAGGTTTGATATTTTAACTCCCAAGGAACGGTCTATCTGCATCACAAGCCAAATCCGACATTTTCCTGCAGTATAACAGATTAACAGAGTTGGAAGGGACCTTGGAGGTCATCTAGTCCAACCCCCTGCTCAAGCAGGAAACCCTCTATCATTTCAATATCTTCTTAGAAACCTCCAGTGTTGGAGAATTCATAATTTCTGGAGGCTGGTTCCGCTGGTTTATTGTTCTCACTGTCAGAAAATTTCTCTTTAGTTCTAGGTTGGTTCTCTCCTTGACTAGTTTCTATCTGTTGCTTCTTGTCCTACTTTCTGGTCCTTTGGAGAATAGATTGACCCCCTGGTTTTTGTGGCAGCCCCTCAAATATTGGAAGACTGCTATCCTAGTCACCTCTAGTCCTTCATTTCATTAAACTAGACACACCCAATTCCTGCAATCGTTCTTCGCATGTTTTAGCTTTCACTCTCGTAATCGTCTTAGTTGCTCTTCTCTGCATTCTTTCCGGACTCGTACAATTTCTCATATCTTCCTCCCCATCCAACTCAAATGCCTGAAATGGTTTACAGCTGAAGAGGAAATAGCTTACGGGTGCCTGACAGTTACTGAAAAAGTTTCTGCCAGGAATGTCTGTATCAAATTGAGAGGGGAAGTTTATGAAACTTCAACCCCAGTTTCCAGGCTGAACAGGCGAATGGTAAGGCCACACTTGGGAATCCTGCATCCAGTTTTGGTCACCACAATGTAAAAAAGATGTTGAGACTGTAGAAAGAGTGCAGAGAAGAGCAACAAAGATGATCAGGGGACTGGAGGCTAAAACATATAAGGAAAGGCTGCTGGAATTGGGTATGTCCAGTTTAATGAAGAGAAGGACGAGGGGGGACATGATAGCAGTGTTCCAATATCTCAGGGGCTGCCCCAAAGAAGAGGGAGTCAAGCTATTCTCCAAAGCGCCTGAAGGCAGGACAAGAAGCAACAGATGGAAACTAATCAAGGAGAGAAGCAACCCAGAACTAAGGAGAAACTTCCTGACAGTAAGAACAATTAACCAGTGGAACAACCTGCCTCCAGAAGTGGTGAATGCTCCAACACTGGAAGTTTTTAAGAAGAGACTGGACAGCCATTTGTCTGAAATGGTATAGAATTTCCTGCCTGAGCAGGAGGTTGGACTAGATGACCTCCAAGGTCCCTTCCAACTTTTTATTATTATTATTATTATTATTATTATTATTATTATTATTATTATTATTATTATTATTATTATTATTAGACTTACCTCTATCAGGCTTAAATGAACTCCTATGAGGTAGGGCATCGGAGCGCTGGAAGGAAAGAGAAAAAAATTGCTTGAATTTGACAAAGGCAGAAATTAGAGTATTAGAAGCCAGAGTCAGTTTGACCAAACGGATATGGCCCGTGCTCACTTTACTTCTCCGGAGAATTCATTTGATTCCCAGATCCTGCAAGTAGGTATGTTTAAACCGACAAAACCAGGTTCCGTTCCTATTTTAAGAATCAAAGAATATGTTATCGTCGTATCCATTGGATATATGATCCCATATCAAATTTGAGTTTTAAGTTTCTTGAAGGGGTGTGTGGGGGGATGGTCTTCCCCATCCTTTAAGAGGTTTTTTTTCTGCATGTCCACCACATAGGGTAGAATGTTCCCTCTGCCTCATGCCAGTTTCCAGCATTTATAGCTATATAATTTGTCTATCGTGGCAATTACGGACGGAGCCATGTGCCACCTCTAAAATATTTCCATTTTCTCTTCCATGGTGATTTGGGAATCGAAGAGCAAGGAAAAGATGCTGCAGAAAGACATGGTGGGGTGCTTAAGCTCTTGGAAATCAACTGCTCTTATAAAATCCATGTCAGTGCCAAATCAAACTGTTCCCCCCCACCCCGCCCCCCTCAGCCTGAACCTGTCACCTAAATTAAATTGTAAACTAAAACAGCCAACAAACGCAGGAGAAGAAAGCCTTGTGGTAGCTTCGCACACATCTGGAAGTGATGGTCCCTTTGACGGTTAACCCGGTAAAATACTTTGCACCCATTATCCACTGGAGTTGTGGAAAGAGGAAAACAGCTAACTACGGGCCTGGGGGAAAAAAAAATGCTTTGTGTAGAGGAAACCAACAACTCTCCTCTTTCGAGACCGATGCAGAATTTCTAGCCCTTCCTTTCTGTTGGTCTACGTTTGCCTGTCCCTTCTCCCCGAGATTTTAATGATCAGAATTCGACGGCGCCTCTAAGCGCACGGCACCGTCTCAGGTATAAAAGCCATGCCAGATCAATGGGAGCCGAGAGCGGTAAGTCATTTGTTTAGCGGCACAAAACTCCAGGCTGCTTGCAGTAAGCAGCTGACGAGGGAGGACGTTAGCCTCCCTCCAAGCACTTGCCGAAGACGACGTGTCCCTAATTAAGTAGGTTCGGCAAAAAAAAAACAAAAAAACGACAGCAGCCTCGGCAGCGTGCAGAATTGTGAGGTCTAAAAACTCAGCAGGAAGTCTTAAAGGGTGCAAATGTCTCGTCTGGAGAACTCCAGCAAAGCCGGGCGATAAAGAAGAGCAGGCAGGGATGGCGGTTGTGTAAAAGCTGCCCTTTGCTGGGGCATCCAGAGGAACCACCTGTCACAAGCGGGGAAGGGAGGGGGAAGAAGACGACGACGACGAAGAAGAAGGAGACAGGCGGACTGTAAAACTTAATTAACTGCTTTGTGTTGTTGATCCGTCCGTCTTCTCAATTAATCAAGGCGCGCAATTGGGGACCAGGAAATATTTAATAGGGATGTCAGAATCAAAAGCGTCTCAAATATTGCAAAATACCCCAGGGCTCGGAGGGATGGGGGAAGAACTGAAGTCAGTCCCCAATCCCCCAACCCAGATTTTTCTATTGACAAGAAGAGGGAATATCGCCCTTGCAGAAGACATCTGTCGCTAGCATCCGTCCCGTCCCGTGCCACGCGCCTGCCCTGGCAGACTCAACATGACACCATCTCTGAAAGTGCACCCGGTCTTACACCTGGTGGTCTCTGGTGTGGAATGGGACAACTCGCCACAGCCGACTCGCCACGGATAGAATAGAATAGAATAGAATAGAATAGAATAGAATAGAATAGAATAGAATAGAATAGAATAGAATAGAATAGAAATACAGAATAGAATAGAATAGAATAGAAAGAATAGTAGAATAGAAATACAGAATAGAATAGAATAGAATAGAATAGAAATACAGAATAGAATAGAATAGAATAGAATAGAAATACAGAATAGCAGAATAGAATAGAATAGAATAGAATAGAAATACAGAATAGAATAGAATAGAAATACAGAATAGAATAGAATTACAGAATAGAATAGAATAGAAATACAGAATAGAATAGAATAGAATAGAATAGAATAGAATAGAATAGAATAGAATTGAAGAATAACTTTGTCCCTTTAAATATACACTAATCAGCATACATTAAAATGAGATTTCTTTGCGTACAGCTCTCAAAGGGTAATCACCTCGAATATACACTGCATAAAGAATAAATAAATAAATAAATAAATAAATAAATAAAATTATGCATATATCCACATACACACACATATGCGGCCCAGAGAAAGAACACCGTCTAGTTCGGATGCATACGTATACATGGCGAGAAAAACGAATCTTGCGAGTTTACCAGACGGGTGGCATAGGGAACAAAGCTGTTGCAGAATCTGGTAGTCCTGCTATAAATCCTTCGAAACCTCCTTCCAGAGGGGAGCCAAAGAAACAGACGGTAAAGTGGGGTGTGTGTGTGTGGGGGATCTCTAACAATGCTCCGAGCTCTAAAGCACATGTAAGTGCTTATAAGCAGCGTCCTGAATAACGGGAAGCGAGCTTCCTATAATCTTCTCCGCTGTCCTCACCACCCTCTGCATGGACCTTCTATCTGAGGCTCTGCTAGCACCAAACCAGACAGTGACGCAGTTTGTTAAGACGGTCTCTTCGAAAAGTGGCCAGGACAGGAGGAGAAAGCAGCCATAGGTTAAAACTGGAGGACTGAACTGAAGCAAACTTCCTAAAGTCTCAAAATACAAGCATTTGGGAACTATTTGCAGTTCTACGCAGTTCTTTCCCGGTGATCTAATGTCTCAAATTATCCCAAGAGTATCCAATGACCATTAACTATCACCAGGAGAGTCCGAAACGGGGTGGGCTGGAAAAACAGCCAAAGTCCAGTTGCAAAACAATCACATTTTTTTTCCCCCTCTTTGCCACCTGCTTCCTCTCTTGTGCTTCACCCTTCACAAGACACAACTGGACCACAGCTGCAACATTCCCCCCTTTCTCCCCCCCTCCCCAAATACCAACTCAATGTTTACATTTTAAACTCATAAGCAAATTAAAAAAAGTAGAACCTGGGAACTTAATCCCCCGTTCTTCTTCTTTCATTCCACCTCTCCAAAATCTCAGCAGACGGGACGGAGTTTGGGGGCCAAAAAAAGATCTTTTCATTTCCAAAATTGAGACAGCTATTTGGGAAGGGGATGTATTTAAGCTACACAAACTAGGGCTAAATTGATTTATCCAGGCAATTATCATGTACAATTACTATCCTAATTGAAGTTCACATCAGCCCACCGTAATCAGTTACGTTTGGCAAAAGGGCAATTAAATTCTTCCCGCTAATTACAGCTATTTTTAATTTTTTGGGGCCTTGTCGTTCTAAGCTACATTCCTAAACTGATCGTTTTGATTTTTCTCCCTCCCTCCCATCCGGGGCGTTTCCCCTTGTTCCAGAAGTTTTGGGGGACACAGCCCACCCTGGAGAAAAATTCTAGGGTGCATCTGAAATTGTTTACCCGTACCATTTCTTGGCTTTTCCCTTTTCGATTTTTACTTCACTGTTATAGGTAGTTCTCAAGTTACAGCAGTTTGTTTAGTGGCCGTTCAAAGTTACGATGGCATAGAAAAAAGGGACTTACGATCCTTTTTCACACTTACGACCGTTGCAACATTCCTCGTGAGGGTCATGTGATCCAAGTTCAGAAGCTTGGCATCCGACTCGTAGTTACGACTTTTGCAGCGTTCCAGGTCATGTGATTCCCTCTGATGACCTTTCCGCAAGCCAAAGTCAAGGGGGGAAGCTGGATTCGCTTAGCGTCCGTGTCACTAACTTAACTACAGTGATTCATTTGAAACTGTGGCAAGGAAGGTTGTAAAAAGAGCAAAATTCACTTAACAACTATCCCACTTAGCAACAGAAATTTTGGACTCCCGTTTTGGACTTATTGTGAGAGGGACCTTGGAGTCCTAGTGAACAATGACTTAAAGAAGAGCTGGCCGCGTGCGGCAGCAGCCAAAAAAGCTAACACAATCCTTGGTTGTATAAACAGAGGCACAGAATCAAAATCACGCAAAGTATTGGTACCGCTTTATAAAGCCTTAGTAAGGCCATATCTGGAGTACTGCATCCAGTTTTGGTCACCAGATTACAAAAAAGATGTTGAGGCTTTGGGAAAAGTTCAGAGAAGAGCAACTAAGATGACTAAAGGCCTGGGGACTAAAATACATGAAGTACGGCTGCAGGATTTGGGAATGGCCAGTCTAGAGAAAAGAAGGACTAGGGGGGACATGATAGCAGTTTTCCAATATTTGAGGGGCTGCCACAAAGAGGAGGGGGTCAAATTATTCTCCAAAGCACCAGAAGCCAAGACAAGAAACAATGGATGGAAAGTAACCAAGGAGAGAAGCAACCTGGAATTAAAGAGAAACTTCCTAACAATGAGGACAATTAACCAGTGGAACAGCTTGCCACCAGAGGTTGTAGGGGCTCCATCATTGGAGGTTTTTAACAATAGACTGGACAGTCACTTGTCTGAAATGGCCTAGGCCAGGGGTAGGCAACCTTGGCTCTTTTATAACTCGTGGACTTCAACTCCCAGAATTCCTGAGCCAGCACAGCTCAGCTTGGAAACCTCTCCCTTTCCCCTCAGCGTGGCTGGCTCAGGAATGCTGGGAGTTGAAGTCCACAGTCATAAAAGAGCCAAGGTTGCCTACCCCTGGTCTAGGGGTCTCCTGCTTGATCAGGGGGCTGGACTAGAAGACCTCCAACTTCCCTTCCAGCTGTGTTCTTATTCTGACTTTCCGGATGTATTGTTTTTAATTGTTTGATCGTGTTGCTGAGTTGAGTTGAGTGGCTCTAAAAAAAATAATGAGTTAAATAAACGAAATAAATCTGCGGGAAGAGTCTCTCCGTGGGCCAAAACACGGACCGGTTTCTTCTGATGTCCGTTCTGTCTCTGCGGGGACTTGACCCAGCAGCTCCTTGCAGCGAACACCTGAAGACGCAACCATCAGGAGCGACTTCTCTCCTTGTGTTAATTATGAACGCACAGCCACATCCTATTAGACGAGGAAAAGCTTAGGCTGGTCTTGCAAATGACTTGGGAATCAGCCTTTTCTGCCACCAAAGAGAGATGCTTCCTCGTGTCTCCAACCGAGGAAGGTACTTAGCCTTTAAATCATCTGCCGCGGAACAAAACCGCCTTGAAATTTACATGTTTCAAGCAAGTTCAGACACCTTGCTTCCAATGCCACTTAAATTCCTGCTGCTTCCTTAACGCAGGAAGACCCCGGAGGAGATCCGTTCTCATCACCCCGTGCCATTTCCCCCCCCCTCTTTTTAAACTCAAAAGCTGGCGAATGGATCAGCTACCCAACGCCGGTTCGGCAGCCTTTGAGGATAATGAATGGAAGGCACTTCGAAGAGGGGGGGGAAAAAGCAAGGTGTACTTCCAGAAAAAGGGGCACCCCCAGCGGCCTCCTCCCTCCCTGTATTTCTCTTAAAAGGACCTCCAAAATGTGACATGTACAGTCCAGACTCCAGAGATTGTTGGCTTTCGGGCTGTAATGTCCAACAAGGGGCCACGGGAAAGGAACAGAGCTGGTGCTTAGGGAGATGCGGTGAGGGCATCAGACCAGCTTCACCCTCAACCACAGAAGGTCACCATTTAAGTTGCTCTTTTTTGCACACTTTCCAGAGTAACATTATAAAAAAGATGTTGAGACTCCGGAAAAAGTGCAGAGAAGCTCAGCAAAGATGATTAAAGGCCTGGAGGCTAAATCATACGAAGAACGGCTGCAGGACTTGGGTTTGGCTAGTCTGAAGAAAAGAAGAAATAGGGGAGACATGATAGCAGTGTTCCAGTATCTGAGGGGCTGCCACAAGGCAGAGGGGGCCAGGTTGTTCACCAGAGCACCAGAGGGAAGGATGAGAAACAACGGTTGGAAACTGACCAAGGAGAGAAGCAACCTGAATTGAGGAGAAACTTCCTGACAGTGAGGACAATCAGCCAGTGGAACAGCTTTTGCCTTCAGAAATCATGGGTGCTTCATCACTGGAGGTTTTTAAGAAGAGGCTAGACAGTCACCTGTCTGAGACAGTATAGGTTCTCCTGCTTGAGCAGGGGGATGGACTAGAAGACCTCCAAGGTCCCTTCCAGCTCTATTCTATTCTATTCTATTCTATTCTATTCTATTCTATTCTATTCTATTCTATTCTATTCCCTATTCTATTCTATTCTATTCTATTCATGATAGTAGTATTCCAGTATTTGAGGAGCTGACAGGTCAACCTATTTTCCAAAGCACCAGAAGGCAGGACAAGAAACAACGGATGAAAACTAATCAATGAGAGAAGCAACCTGGAATTAAGGAGAAACTTCCTAACAGTGAGGACAATTAACCAGTGGAACAGAAATTGCCTTCAGAAGTTGTGGGTGCTTCATCACTGGAGGTTTTTAAGAAGAGACTGGACAGCCACTGGTCTGAAATGGCATAGGGTCTCCTGCTTGAGCAGGGGGCCGGACTAGAAGACCTCTGAGGTTCCTTCCAGTTCTGTTATTCCGTTATTCTGCTTCTCTCTTGCCAAGCCTACTTCACTGAATTTATTAAGTGAATCACTTCAGTTGTTCAATTCGTGAAGTGAATCAAGTTCCCCCGTTGAATTTGCTCGTCGGAAGGTCGCAAAAGGGGATCACGTGACCCCCCAGGGACACTGCGACCGTCATAAATGTGAGTCAGTTGCCAAGCATCCGAATGTCAATCACGTGGCCATGGTGGATGCTGCAACGGTCGTAAGTGTGAAAAAATAGTCATACGTCACTTTTTTCCAGTGTCACGGTAACTTTGAACAGTCCCTAACCAAACGGGTGTAAGAAGAGGACCACCAGTATATACACATTGATGTTGGATAGGAGACCCTTCAGAAAACTTACATAGGTCTTGAAATCGTTAACACCCCTAAGATCCTCGGAAAGATTCCTAGGAACAAGCACATACTCTTACCAGCAGTAGTCCAACAGGTGAGGAGGCAGGACAGGGATATAAACGTGTTGCCAAAACATTGGGTAGAGCAAGGAGGCTGAGCCGTGGACGCAGGCAGTTAGCTGAAAGAACAAAAAGGACAAAGATCAACTCAACCTGGGCAAAATGGGGAGATCCATCCCAAGATTATTGCGACACAACTCCACCGGTTGGTGGAGAAAGTCCCTCAGTGGACTCTCTTGTTGATAGCTGAGGCTAGATTTTTGATACTTTCCTGGGGTTGAGAACTTTGGGCAAGGTTTGGGGTTAGGATCTGTTAAGATCTTTTTTTATTGCATCATTGAAACACTCAGTGCCCTCGCTTATGGGATGTCACTGTTTGGGGGGATAGGGATAGGGATAAGAGGAGAGGAGAGGAGAGAAGAGAAGAGAAGTTAGAATAGAGAATACGATAGGATAGGATAGGATAGGATAGGATAGGATAGGATAGGATAGGGTAGGGTAGGGTAGGGTAGGGTAGAATATAGAGTAGAGTAGAGTAGAGTAGAGTAGAGTAGAGTAGAGTAGAGTAGAGTAGAGTAGAGTAGAGTAGAGAAGAGTAGAGCAGAGTATAGAGTAGAGTAGAGTAGAAAAGAGAAGAGAAGAGTAGAGTAGAGTAGAGAAGAGAAGTTAGAATAGAGAATAGGATAGGATAGGATAGGATAGGATAGGATAGGATAGGATAGGGTAGGGTAGGGTAAGGTAGGGTAGGGTAGGATAGAATATAGAGTAGAGTAGAGTAGAGTAGAGTAGAGTAGAGTAGAGTAGAGTAGAGTAGAGTAGAGTAGAGTAGAGAAGATAGAGTAGAAAAGTTAGAATAGAGAATAGAATAGAGTAGAACAGAGTAGAGTAGAGTAGAAGAGAAGTTAGAATAGAGAACAGAATAGAGTAGAGTAGAGTAGAGAAGAGAGAGTAGAGTAGAGTAGAGTAGAGTAGAGAAGAGAAGTTAGAATAGAGAATAGAATAGAGTAGAACAGAGTAGAGTAGAAGAGAAGTTAGAATAGAGAACAGAATAGAGTAGAGTAGAGTAGAGTAGGAGAGGAGAGGAGAAGGGAGGAGAGGGGAGAGGAGAAAAGAGAAGAGAAGAGAAGAGAAGATATTTTTCATTGGCCAAGTGTGATTTGACACACAAGGAGTTTGTCTCAGGGGCAGAAGCTCTCAGTGTACATACAAGCAGCAAGTAATACATCATGATCATAATCATAGAATACAATCATCATAAATCACAAGATACAACACTCAGTGATAGTCACTGAGAAATTCTGGGAGTTGAAGTCCACAAGTCTTAAAGTTGCCACGGTTGGGGACCTCTGGATTATTAAACCACCTCACAAGACTTTGCTTCATAAAATCAAAGGTGGGGGGGTGTGAGTGAAAACAAGCCACCTCAAAGCCATCTTTGGAAGGCGACAAAGCTTGAGGAAACCCACCAACCCACTACTACGATTTGATTTGATTTGCTCGCAATCCCCATACTTCCACTAGTTAAGGGTTACTTCCTACAAAATGTTCTGTTCAACACTAGGATGGCCAAACTTGGTATGTTGGAAAGAGGTTCGCCAAAGTTCCTGGAATGCAGCTTGGGATTCGGAGAATCCAAAGCAGGAAAAGAGCCATTAAAAAAAAAAATCCCTCTAAAAATAACAGATTTTGTCATTTGCTCCATCAACAACGGATGCCTCCCCTGTCTTGTCTTCCCCTCTTCCCAACAATTACACCCAAGGAAAAGACAGACAAGGCAAGGATACTCCCTTAGTGGGCTTTATGACCAAGAGAGAACCTTTTTAATGCAAAAAACAGAATTTTATTCTACGTTGTGCTCCTAATTCGGAATTCCTGCCTGAATTATAAGGATTTCTAAGTGTACTGTGTGGGTGTCGGTATGTGGATCCAATTTTGGCCTGCTAAGCTTTTTTAAAATGCCTTTCTACAAAGAAAAACATTCCTTAATAGCGGTTCTTAATCATCTTCACCTGAAGAACCAGAGGCTTAGCCATGGAAGTTCTTTAGTTTGGAAAACTGAGCAAAAAAAAAAAAAACCCTGAAGGAAAACATGGGATCAATTGACTAATTGCAGATGTAGGAACGTTTTTCAAAATTCACCAGTATCCATCCCACGCTCCATCGTGACAATATATACTGGTTCATTGAACATACTAGAAAATTAATACGTTTTGGTTTCGTTTGGAAATATTTTTCACTGCCAGCTTTAGAATAGAATAGAATAGAATAGAATAGAATAGGAAATAGAATAGGAAATAGAATAGGAAATAGAATAGAATAGGGAAGAATAGAATAGAATAGAATAGAATAGAATAGAATAGAATAGAATAGAATAGAATAGAATAGAATAGAATAGGAGATAATAGAATAGAATAGGAGAGAATAGAATAGAATAGAATAGAATAGGAAATAGAATAGGAAATAGAATAGGAAATAGAATAGAATAGGAAAGAATAGAATAGAATAGAATAGAATAGAATAGAATAGAATAGAATAGAATAGAACAGAACAGAACAGAACAGAATAGAATAGAATAGAATAGGAAATAGAATAGAATAGAATAGAATAGAATAGAATAGAATAGAATAGGAAATAGAATAGAATAGAATAGAATAGAATAGAATAGAATAGAAGCTGGAAGGGACCTTGGAGATCTTCTAGTCCAGCCCCCTGCTCAAGCAGGAGAACCTATACCATCTCAGACAGGTGATTGTCCAGTCTCTTCTTAAAAATTTCTAGTGATGGAGCGCCCACAATTTCTGGTGGCAAGCTGTTCCCCTGGTTAATTGTCCTCGCTGTCAGGAAGTTTCTCCTTAATTCCAGGTTGCTTCTCTCTTTGATCAATTTCCAACCGTTGTTTCTCGTCCTGCCCTCTGGTGCTTTTGCTAGAGTTCAATTCATACTCTCAAAATCAGGCTGCAGGACGCGGAGTCTCTCCAAATCCAGACAATGGCATATGTCTAAGTCAGCAGCATTAGTGTGTGTGTGTGGGGGGGGGGGAATTAATTCGCCATTTATCCAGAGGAAAAGCAAAACAAAATGAAACGAACAGCCTCCATCTGCAATCAATACCTGTTTACCGAACAAACAGCTAGAAAAAAATAACATTTTCTTTTTTTAAAACAACAACAACAACAACCAAGAGCCAGCTATTGCTACTGCTAAAACCTTGCGACATATACAGATCTAAACTCTGAACTAAACCAACTGGAACACTGTGGATAGTAAAGTCATTTTTTTAATATAAGTAATGTAACGAGAGCGGGCTTAAGTATCCTGCGGCTTTCATCTCTCTGGGCACTTGATGGACTCTAAGTAGCATTAAGCCAGCATCCTTATCCAGCAAAATTGCAGAAAACTGAGATTCTTATCATCCTCCATTTGAGTTCACCAAGGGGTCACGAGGAGATCCATCTGAAAGCATCATTGATCCATTCTTTTCTCCCCTACTCCTTTTTTTTTTGGCCTCCAGAAAACAAGCAAACAAGCAATCTAGCCATCATGCGGCGTACAAAAACAACAGACCACTGTGAACGTTATTCCCGAAGCGATGACACCAAGAAACAAAAGTTAGCAGAGATGGCTAAATTGACCCCTTTGATTGAAGAAAAGGATACAAGTGCTTTCATTTCTACTTGGAAACCGTTTCTGGACTTTGTGCGCGAGGTGGAAGGGGAAAAAAACCCAAAATGTTGGTTTTGGGTTTGACTGGCTGGCTTGATTTGCTGTTATAGAAACGGCTAGTTTATACTATTATGGAAAAGTGAAAAGTGGAGGTTCAGCGTTAAGGGTCAGCCCACTTCTAGCCAGGCTAGATTCGCCCATTAGGCTCCACTGCTAATATTTCCAGCAGCGACTCAAGAGGAAAGAGTGCCTTTTCCAACTCACCGTGCTCAATTTACTGCAGCAAATGAGGATGCGGCGTTCGTAGAGCATGCTAGCGTACAAATGCAGCATGTTGTTGACATCCACGGCGACAAAATACTCAGTCAGATTTCTCTAGGAAGGAAAAAGAAGTGAAGGATGGTTAGGAAATTGTCTTCCAGCCAAGGGAGGTGTGACACTCCTCAATAGTCACTCTCAAGCTAGCATCTAAGGTGGGATAGAAACCTTAATCAATCCATCAGAATAGAGCTGGAAGGGACCATGGAGGTCTTCTAGTCCAACTCCCCTGCTCAAGCAGGTGACCCTAGACCAGGGGTAGGCAACCTTGGCTCTTTTATGACTGGTGGACTTCAACTCCCAGAATTCCTGAGCCAGCCATGCTGAGGGAAGAGGGAGAGCTTTCCAAGCTGAACCATGTTGGCTCAGGAATTCTGGGAGTTGAAGTTCACCAGTCATAAAACAGCCAAGGTTGCCTACCCTTGCACGCTGGTTGAGGAGTTCTGGGAGTTGAAATCCACACGTCATAAAAGGGCCAAATTTGAAGACCTCTACCCTAGAGTAGACCATGCCATCCATTCTCTTCTTAAAAACTTCCAGTGATGGAGCACCCACAACCTCTGGTGGCAAGCTGTTCCACTGGTTAATTGTCCTCCCTGTTAGGAAGTTTCTCCTTCGTTCTAGCTTGGATTTCTCCTTGATCAGTTTCCATCCGTTGTTTCTTGTCTTGCCTTCTGGTGCTTTGGAAAATAAGTTGACCCCTTCCTCTTCTTTGGGGCAGTTCCTCAAAATATTGGAATATTGCTATCATGTCCCCCCTCGTCCTTCTTTTCTCTAGACTGGCCTAAATAATGGGCTAATGGCCTTGCAACATGGGAAATTGTCTGTCTAACCTTAATTCAACCCAAACCATCAATATTTTATGATCTTCCTCTTGAGATTTCTGCAGACTTTTTTGCTCATAAAAATATGCTCTCTTCCACAAGGCAGACAGAGTGATTAGCTCAGAAGGGTGATAAGAACTCAAGAGTGCCAGGGTGAAGATCATGGGCAGCACCAACGCCCTCCATGGCTCCTTGTTGGTTTAACTCAAGCCTTACTGGCCAGCTAAGAGGGAGAACCATCCAGTGGAAGGGGCTAGGAGAATAACATAGACCTTGTGTTGAAATAAACCTGTTCAACTGGCATGCAGTTCCTCCCTCCCCGTGGTTCCTTCTCCATCTGTGCTGATTAGCAAGATATTTGTGTCTAAACAGAAACTGTTTAGAAGTAGTAGCCACTTCCTGCCACTGTGGTACAGATACAACAGCAGCACATGGAGATAACTTGGCAGGGCTGTCAAAAAAAAGGCAATCTTCGTGCTACCCAGATGCTAAGTTGCTAAATTGTGGAGAAAAGCAAAGTCTTACACTTAGGCAGGAAAAACCAAAGGCACAAATACAGATTGGGCGAGACCTGGATTGGAGACAGTAACTGTGAGAGGGACCATGGAGTTATGGTGAACGATCACTTGACTATGAGCCAGCAGTTGTGCAGCAGCAGCTAATACAATCCTGGGTTGTATAAACAGAGGCATAGAATCAAGATCACGTGAAGTACTAGTACCGCTTTATAAAACCCTAGTGAGGCCACACCTGGAATACTGCAGCCAATTTTGGTCACCATATCACAAAAAAGATGTTGAGAGTCTGGGGAAAAATCAGAGAAGAGCAANTCTACTGCTTGAGCAGGGGGCTGGACTTGAAGACCTCCAAGGTCCCTTCCAGCTCCTATTCTATTCCATTCCATTCCATTTCATTCCATTCCATATTTTCTATTCTATTCTGTTCTGTTCTATTCCATTTCACTCCATTCCATATATTCTATTCTATTCTATTCTATTCTATTCTATTCTATTCTATTCTATTCTATTCTATTCTATTCTATTCCATTCCATTCCATTCCATTCCATTCCATTCCATTCCATCCCATCCCATCCCATCCCATCCCATCCCATCCCATCCTATCCTATCCTATTCCCATTCCATTCCATTCCATTCCATTCCATTCCAAGCCTTCTATTCTGATCTATAACCATTTCCCTAAATCTTTAATTTTCCCACAGCAGAGACTTACATTTTCGGGGATGCTGGGAAGGTCTCTGGTGTCGGGCACCGTAAAGTAAGAGTGCTGAAGGGGAAGGGCGGGGAGAGAGAAAGAAAAAAAATAATGCACCTCACATTTCCATTTATTTTGACACATTTACGCGCTACTGCAGAGATTCACAAACTAGATAACTTGAAGATATGTGGACAGCAAGCCCCAGAAGGCCCACCCGGTTGACGTCCACAAATTGCCAGGGTTGAGGAACACTGATCTACTGCTTGAAAAAAAAAAAAAAAGAACTTCAGCATACACCACTGATGCCATAAACACAACGGAACGCAACTCGACAATCCCAAATGCAGTGATGCTAAACACAAGATACGGATTTGTTATCAGGTAAGGAGGCTTAATGTTCTTTCATATTCATGGAGATTCCAGGAAAAGATCCCTCTTGGCATATCTTAAGCCAATGTGGCGGTTAGGAATGGGGAAAGGTTTTGGGAAAGAAATTCTAAAATAATAAAGGTGGTAGCTTACAAAGAAAACCCATATAAAATGTTTTACAGAGGGCACTTAACACCTGTGAGGTTAGCGAAAATGTTTAAAAATATGTCTGGTAATTGGATACATAGACAAAACCCAGGCACATATTATCATCTTTGGTGGACATGTCCTAAAGCCCAAAGATTTTGGTCAAGAATACATAGATGGTTAGAGAAAACGACTAAAAAAACCCACATGGATTTTAAGCCAGAATTATTTTCGTTAGGCACAATGGTTGGAAATTATGAGAAGGAATGTGAATATTTAATGTTACATGTGTTAACTGCAGCGAGAATTGTATGTGCTCAACATTGGAAAGATGAATTACCAGCAGAGGAAGAGATAATTAAGAAAAATTTTAGATTGTGCAGCAATGGACAGACTGACACTGAAAATGAAAGAGAAAGGAGACTCAGTATACTTTAGAACGGGGGTCTTCAAACTTGGCCCTTTTATGACTTGTGGACTTCAACTCCCAGAATTCCTCAGCCAGCGAGGAATTCTGGGAGTTGAAATCCACAAGTCATAAAAGGGCCAAGTTTGAAGACCCCTGCTTTAGAACATGGGATACTTTTTATCAATGGCTAGAAAAACGAGGGAGAGAGAAAGGACCTTAATATGTATTAGTAAGCTAAATACTGGAACCCAGACAATATGTTGCTGATAAAATATTAAGCATTTGTGACTATTAAAAAATTAATTAAATATTGGAGGGGAAAAAAAAAGAATGGGGAAAGATCATCTCTGCTCCTGGGACTTCTGTGGAGCCCCCAAGACGGTGACTGAAGACCTTCTCCAGACCTTCTCCAGACCAAAAAAATACCTTCAGACTTTTCCCATTTTTAGGAACGCTTACCACACTGAGATGAACCGAAGAAGCCGGCTCAGGAATTGGTAGTTTGTAAAGTGTCTGCAGAAGTTCAAACCTTTGGCTGTCCTAAAACGAAGAAGAAACAACGAGGTGGTCTTTCCGAGGTGGTTACGTTCATTGGGAGAAGAACATCTATCTCTTTCTGTCTCTTGTTAATGAGAGGCCAAAAAAATCCTGATTTTCCTTGTGTCCACCCCATCAAGGGGCGAGAAAGAGATCCATCTTACTTCTGTCAACAGAGGAACCCCTATTTTTCCACTCCCCACTGGGAAAATGGCCGCCTGTCACTCTATTGAAGGCAACAGCCGGGTCCAACATGGTCTCTTCTGTCAGAAATTGCAAATTTATGTTTGCTAAGCGAAACATCTGTTAAATGAGTTTTGCCCTATTTTACGACCTTTCTCGCCACAGTCACTGTGGATCACTGCAGTTGTTAAGTGAATAACCCAGTCTTTAAGTGAATCCAGCTTCCCCCATTGACTTTGCTTGTCAGAAGGTCGCAAAACGGGATCGCGTGACCCCGGGACACGGCAAACTGGCATAAGTACAAGTCAGTGGCCAAGCATCTGAATTTTTTTTTCCGTCACATGACCATGCAAAGGTCGTAAGTGTGAAAAACGGTCAAAAGTCACTTTTTTCAGTGCTGTTGTAACTTTGAACGGTTACTAAGCGAGCTGTTGTAAGCTCAACTGTTGTGACCTCTTATTTTAACAGAACGTGTTCTACTGAAATAATCTAGACTTGTCTTCAAAAACTGAATCAAAGATGACTTGGGCCACTTCTGGAGTTGGCGAACAATACAAGTTTTAAAGACATACACACACTGGGTCTCACTCAAACACACAGTAGTGGCCAAAATTGTGGAAACCTTTTGGGAAAAGTGTATTTTTCAGGTTTGATAGCTAGTAACACCACTTTGTTTTGGGAGTAGTACCATAAAATTATATATCAATGGAAAGATAATTTAATCAAGAATGCAATGCAACATAGTCTGTGCAATTATCTGTACTGTATTCTATGAAAAGGCATAGCCAAATAACCAGAAAAAGGAAGCACAACTTGCTCAGGTTGATATCAGGTAGCTTTCCTTCATCTGATTGTAGCCAATGAGCAGAGTGTTTAGAGAGCCAATCGGGTGTCATCTTGTTTTGGCAACGAGCCAATCAGATCACAGTAGGATCCAGTGATTGATGCCCTGTATTGAAGCTGAGAGGAGGACATTTGTCAGTGTGTTATGTGATCGCGATCAAGTTGGTTGGGCTTTTTTGTGTTCTTTCATTGAGTGAGCTTGTAAAACGTCATAAAATTAAAGTCATGGTGCAAAGAGTTGACTGGTCGCCGGGAAAGTGATGTAAAATAGCATTATTAAATGAACAAGGCTACAGTTATAAAGAAATTAGAAGAAAAATGGGTGGAAACTTAACCAAAGGTGGCATTTCTCTTGTACCCTTTTCCCAAAAGGTTTCCACAATGTTGGCCACTGCTGTACGCACCTCTTCAAACCCACAAGACAAACAGGAAGTCACACACAAACACGGAAGTATATTTACCTGGCCCTTCACTGTGTAGTCTGCCAGAATATTCAGCAGTTTATAAAAGACTTCAAACCAGGGGAGATAACTAAAAAGAAAAAGGAAAGAAATGCACAAGTTTGCACGTTAACGTTTAAGGGGGGGAAAAACACATTTCTTCTGCAAAAGGTGTACAGAAAGATCAAGCAAAGGAAGCTTGTGAGAATAGAATAGAAGCTGGAAGGGACCTTGGAGGTCTTCTAGTCCAGCCCCCCGCTCAAGCAGGACATCTCAGACAAGTGACTGTCTAGCCCAGGGGTAGGCAACCTTGGCTCTTTTATGACTCGTGGACTTCAACTCCCAGAATTCCTGAGCCAGCCATGCTGAGGGAAAAGGGAGAGCTTTCCAAGCTGAGCCATGTTGGCTCAGGAATTCTGGGAGTTGAAGTTCACCAGTCATAAAACAGCCAAGGTTGCCTACCCTTGCCCTAGACCAAGGGTCTTCAAACTTGGCCCTTTTATGACCTGTGGACTTCAACTCCCAGCATTCCTCAGCCAGGCATGCCAGTTGAGGAATTCTGGGAGTTGAAGTCCACACGTCATAAAAGGGCCAGGTTTGAAGACCTCTGCCCTAGAGTAGACCATGCCAGACAAGTGGCTATCCATCCTCTTCTTTAAAACCTCCAGTGATGGAGCACCCACAACCTCTAGTGGCAAACTGTTCCACTGGTTAATTGTCCTCCCTGTTAGGACGTTTCTCCTTCGTTCTAGCTTGGATTTCTCCTTGATCAGTTTCCATCCGTTGTTTCTTGTCTTGCCTTCTGGTGCTTTGAAAAATAAGTCGACCCCTTCCTCTTCTTGGGGGCAGCCCCTCAAAATATTGGAATACCGCTATCATGTCCCTCCTCGTCCAGGAATTCTGGGAGTTGAAGTCCACGAGTCATAAAAGAGCCAAGGTTGCCTACCCCTGGTCTAGCCTCTTCTTAAAAACCTCCAGTGATGGAGCGCCCACGATTTATGGAGTCCAGCTGTTCCAGTGGTTAATTGTCCTCACTGTTAGGAACTTTCTCCTTAATTCAAACTTCTGGAAAAATGGGAATGCCGGCATTTCAGACTGCAGTTATTAACCCAGCAGCCGAGAGGAAGTGGCGAGCCAGCTCATCGGATCTAAGCGCCGGTTTTCTCTAAGGCTTAAGTGTCAAAACCAAACCCTGCTTAGGGATCTGGGATCTCTTTGCTAAGCAACCACAGACCGACTTCCTTGGCTCCAACGGGCCTCGGCAACTGCCGGAGAGCTCTCCAGGGCCCTGTGTTTGTCTTTGCACCTGAGGGAAAAAGAACGGGGCAGGTGTTCTCTCTTCAACAGGTATAAGGGGGGGGGACTCGGGCCAAGTGCAAGACTCTGGGAAATCCCACGGGGAAAGTGGGGAGGGGGGGAGAAAAGGACCTTGGGCTGGCTTCTCTGTGGTCAGACGGGACGCACCCCAGAGGCCTCCTCTGGATCGGGGGCTTCAGTGGACCTTTTCAACTCTACTGGGGGCTTGTGAGTTGTGTCCAAAGGTGTGCTTCCTGGTCTGCTCTGAGGTTCATAGCTTTGAGCTAGTCAGGGTGGAACCAACTGACATGTAGGACTTTTCCTTCCTCCCTCCCTCCTTTCTTCCTCCCTCCCATCCTTCCTTCCCCTATTTGCCTTCCTTCCTTCTTCCTTCCTTCCTCTTTGACTCCCTCCCTCCCCCTTTTTCTCTTTCTTTCTTTCTTTCTTTCTTTTTTCTTCCTTCCTTCCTTTTCCTTCCTTCCCTCCCTCCTTCCTTCCTTTCTTCCCCTTTTCTTCCTTCCTTCCTTCCTTTTCCTTCTTCCTTCTCCTTTCCTTCCTTCCCCTCTTTTCTTTTTCTTCCTTCCTTCCCTCCTTCCTTTCTTCTTTCTTCTTTCTTTCTTTCTTTCCTTCCTTCCTCTTTTTTCCTTCTTTTTCCTTCCTTCCTTCCTCTTTCTTCCTTCTTTTTCCTTCCTTCCTTCCTTCCTTCCCCTCTTTTCTTTCTTTCTTTTTTTCTTTCTTCCTTTTCCTTCCTTCCCTCCCTCCCTGCCTCCTTCCTTTCTTCCCCTTTCTTTTTCTTCCTTCCTTCCTTCCTTCCTTCCTTCCTTCCTTTTCCTTCTTCCTTTTCCTTTCCTTCCTTCCCCTCTTTTCTTTTTCTTCCTTCCTTCCTTCCCTCCTTCCTTTCTTCTTTCTCTTTCTTTCTTCCTTTCTTTCTTTTTCTTTCCTTCCTTCCTCTTTCTTCCTTCTTTTTCTTTCCTTCCTTCCTCTTTCTTCCTTCTTTTTCCTTCCTTCCTTCCTTCCCCTCTTTTCTTTCTTTCTTTCTTTCTTTATTCCTTTTCCTTCCTTCCTCCCTCCCTCCTTTCTTCCCCTTTCTTTTTCTTCCTTCCTTTCTTCCTTTTCCTTCTTCCTTCTCCTTTCCTTCCTTCCTTCCCTTTTTCTTTTTCTTTTTCTTCCTTCCTTCCTTCCCTCCTTCTTTCTTTCTTTCTTTCTTGCTTTTTCTTTCTTTCCTTCCTTCCTCTTTCTTCCTTCTTTTTCCTTCCTTCCTTTCTTCCCTTTCTTTCTTTCTTTCTTTCTTTCCTTTCTTTCTTTCTTTTTTTCCTTCCTTCCTTCCTCTTCCTTCTTTTTCCTTCCTTCCTTCCCCTCTTTTCTTCCTTCCCCTCTTTTCTTTCTTTCTTTCTTTCTTTCTTTCTTTCTCTTCCTTCCTTCTGTCCTTCCTTTCCTTCCTTCCTTCCCTTCCCTTCCTCTTCTAAGTTCTTCTATTTGAGTTCTACCAGCGGAGCAGAAGCAAGCAGAACAGGGAGGGGAGAACTGCGAGTCTCCTTTTCAAAACACAGGCAGGGGCTGGAGGCATCAGCCTCACACCCTCCTCTGCCTGGAGCCGATGGACGGACCGAGCAAGCGCTAGCCCACTTGGGGATTCTTGGGGCATGCTTTTCTCATATTTCATTTGTAACCAAGCACTTCCTCTTCCTCTCGGTTCCTCCAGAGCTTTTGATCAACTCCGGCTTTCACAGGTCAGAGGTTAAACAAAGGAAGGGAAGTCCCTACTGAAATGGCCCACAGCCCTGCCATAAAATTTTAAAAAAAGAAAAGAAAAAGAAAAAAAAACCAGCCCAAGAAGAGCAATTCTGCTTAAAGGACGTGAAAAGAATGGGCTGAAAATTACTCCAAGCACCTCAAGTTCAGAGACTTCACCAGCCCTAAATCAGAGAGCGATCTGGCCTTGTTATACCATCCTCTCTTCAAGCCTCAACTCAACTTTGCTTGGCAACACAACACCGTTCATTCTCTCCCACCCAGGTGGAGAAGCAATCCTTCCTTGCCTCCAATCTCACAAGAGGCCATATTTTCTCCTACGTGCATTTTTGCCGTCATGAATAGCATTCCTTGGAGATGTTCTAATGCAGGGGTCCTCCACCTTGGCAACTTTTAAGACTTGTGGACTTCAACTCCCAGAATTTCTCAGTCCACAAAGCTGCTGGAATTGGGGATGCCCAGTTCAATGAAGAGAAGGACGAGGGGGGACAGGACAGTAGCGTTCCAATATCTCAGGGGCTGCCCCAAAGAAGAGGGAGTCAAGCTATTCTCCAAAGCACATGAAGGCAGGACAAGAAGCAACGGATGGAAACTAATCAAGGAGAGAAGCAACCTAGAACTAAGGAGAAACTTCCTGACAGTTAGAACAATTAACCAGTGGAACTACCTGCCTCCAGAAGTGGTGAAGGCTCCAACACTGGAAGTTTTTAAGAAGAGACTGGACAGCCATTTGTCTGAAATGGTATGGGGTTTCCTGCCTGAGCAGAGGGTTGGACTCAATGGCCTCCAAGGTCCCTTCCAACAACAACAACAACATCATCATCATCATCATCATCATCATCATCATCATCATCATCATCATCATCATCATCATTATTATTAAATATATTTTACCTGCTGCCTACAGGACAGCGCGGGTCCATTCCCCTTGAGGGATTGTCCTGCTGTAGAAGCTGGTGGTGACCGTCCTGTTAGCCAATTATTGTGACTCTTGGGGGGGCTCCAGCCTCCCCTTAGGGTCTGTGGTCTGGACTAATTAATTGGGTTAGGGGGTTTGTGTAACACACAACCCCTCTTAATCCATTTAAGCGTCTCCTAGCAGTACAGCTATACGATTTGCCATGCAATCCTTGTGGAGTTAATTTTTTTTTTAATTGCTACCATGGGTGGGTGGGTGGGGGGGAAGCGTGGGTTTTAAGTCGTGGTGACCGGTACGAGTCTAATTGGAACTCCATCGTCCCTGGTGCAAAGGAGAATTGAGCTACATTAGTATCACTGGGCAATTTTATTCCCATATTGACAACTGAAGCGAGGTGGAACTGAATCAACGCTGCGTTCCTTTCCTACCTCCTGTTCTGCGATCTTGACCGAAGCCCTGCGCTCACACTGGCAATGGGCAAGGCAACGGGGTGAAACAGGGTATCTAGTCTGACCCCGAGGGGGAAAAAAGAAAGAAACAGGATGAAAAGTATTGTTCCGCCACTGCAAAAGGGCGTAAATTGAGCAAGTGCCTTCAAAGTGACTCCAGTTACATTCAGTGAGATTAATATAAATGTTTTTATAATTACCCCGCTGCAGTCGTTAGAGGAGTTTTGGAAGGGATCGGGAACGGCAAGCAAGCACCGTTTCAAAGAGGAAAAGAAGAAAGAAAAAATTCCAAGCAAAACTTTCTGGTTCATAAATACGTGGGCAGCATTTTAAGTTGTCCTTCCGCAAAGGACTTTTTCCAGCTGAAAAGGGGCAAATGATTCCGTATGCTTTGCTTTGTGATTTTTTTTTTGTTAAATAATTGGACTGGCCGATTAGGGGGGGGAGGGAGGAGGAGGGGGAAGGGGGAGGAAGAAGGAAGTAGGAGGAAGAAGGAGGAAAAGAGAGGAGGAGCAGGAGGAAGGAGAGAGGAGGAAGAGGGAGGAAAAGAGGGGAGGAGGGAGAGACAGAGGAAGAGCAGGAGGAAGGAGGAAGAGGGGGAGGAAGAGGAAGGGAGGGAGGAGGAAGGAGGAAGAGGGAGGAGGAGCAGGAGTAAGGAGGGAGGAAAAGAGGGGA